ATACTAAATTTTATAAGCGCGTAATTTGCTTGGGCTCCCAACTAATAATCTCTAAATATATCTATCAGGAACCCCTTCAAAGTCTAGCGTCTAACACCTTAAAATTAAGCACACAAAATGATCGATGTGGATAAACGGCACGATTTAAAACCCATATGAATTACGATATTTACCTCTTCACTCGTGGACTTGTCGAGTCTCGGTGGTGTGGTGGGTTGGCCGGCCTGGCTCAAGAGGTCAGGGAGCACCGAGCTCGTGCGGGAGCCACTACCTTCATTGCCACTTGAACGGCCCTATGAGGAGTGCGAATTTTTCAAATATTTTACTTATACCCAATAACTACCCGTTAAAATTGTTCACCAGCTGTCAGCAATGATTAAATGATTCTTATGGACAAAACCGTTTCCCTCAAATACCTAACACATCTCTTTACATTCTCTAACATATAATTATTGAATAGGTACCTCCTTAGCTAGAAAATATATTTAAAAAATAAACAAAGCTACATACATCCGCCATTTTGATTTTCAATGTTCAACAAAGTGAATTTTAAACCCCTCTCAACGTTTTGGTTTATCAGTGAAATTATTAAATATTTAATGGTTGTGTTAGGGGCTGTCCATTAATCACGTGAGGCAAGAAAGACAAAAACATGAGGGGGGGGGGGGTGAGAAGTAACGCGGGGAGTTAGTGTTGACAGAAAGTCTTATGGTCGCATGATTATACCATTATTAAGTTTATAGACATAGACATAACTTTATTAACAAAACACACACACAGAAACACACCAAATAATAATAAAAAAAATATGAAAATAAGGTACTATTTAATGTGTGTGTGCGGTTGTAACTAGCCCTGGCTCAGCATTACTGTGGAGTAGACGTTATTCACAGCGCTGGTCATTCAGCCAGAGACCACAACCGTTATGACGGTCAAAAGCAACATTTCTGTCTACACCATCTCATCATGACACCTATGTTTAAAGATAGTATTAAAAAAAACCAAGATTCTCCATTGATACTAAAACATACATGTGATTTGGGGGGTATATTTAAATCTTACACCTCCCCACGTATCACCCAGAGGGGGGTTAAAAATCACGTGATTATGGACGGCTTATGATAAGAGAAACAAGACTTGACGCTATGCCTCCGATGAGCATTGGATAGTATGATGGTGCAACCAAGTCTCGTTCCGTCCGTTAGTGTCGAAGTGAACTTCAAAAAAATCGAGCGCGTTAATTCTGCATCAGCACTAGCAAACACATGCACAACACATACACACGACGATATCCTCCAGCTTCTGTGAATTAATGATCATTCCCGAATGTTACATCTCCTCTCATCTTGGCAGGAAACGGTCGAGCACAGAACAAAAAATATTAGTAGGTGCTTTGTTAATGGAAACTACTGCATAGCTTATCTAAATCACGCCAAAATACACGAGCGATATTGATCTTGAACCCACAACCAGCCCCATAGCATAGCAAAGTTAGTTGTTACCTCATACATGTTAACTATCCCAAGCAATTACCTGGTCCTGTGCAATAACCGCTTCCTGCCTCGACAGGACCTCAACGTTCCGATTGAAATTCCTTCTGAACACAATATCAGACTCAGTCTTCTCCCTGCGTGGTTTGTACGCCACGTTCTCTTTGCTCAACGTGTTTGCAGTGAGATCCAGGGTATTCTCAAAGCAAATGCTCGTGGCTGGCGAATCGCTGTTCAGGCTACTCTGGCGGCTTTTGTTTTCGCTGTCCTGTCTTATTAATTCGGCAACGCTTTTCAGCGCGTCAATTGGATTGGATGCCCTCGTATCGGGTTTAGGTTTTTGCACGAATTTCAAACTGTCCATTTTTATGAAATCCGTCAGAACGGGTTCGCCGGGTATTTGAGGTTTGCTCTGTTTCCTTGTGTGATTGAAAATACCGCTGGAGCGTTGTTTATTTGCGCCTGGTGGAGCCTCGTGCTTCGGGATGTAAATAGCCGAGTGGCGCGTACTAGAAAGTGGAAAGAAGTCGGAGTTCTCCCTTCGAAAGCCTCTGAAAAATCTATTCGGAGGGTTCAGCTCCTCCTGTTCCTTTTTGAACTTCAAAATGTCTGTGAGTTTCTCCTGCGTGCTCTTGTCTGTCTTTGGGAATTTGACACGAGATGGGGGCGTGGCAATCGCCTTGTATTTGGCCCAGCCGTCTTCCATCTCAATTCTAGATTGACGTTGGAGCTGTGCTCGTTTCGCCGTCTCCTTGCTGGGATCCTGTTTCTCTTCTTTATTATTTTTCGATGGAAAAAATCTGGCAAAGTCCCAATCCTTTAAGAGGACGGCTTCGTCGACGTCCGACTGCCTCTTCTCGTTTTCCCTCTGATTTAACATTAGTATGAAAAGCACAAATAAAATTATAAAAAATTCTGCTCACTATTTTGGCGTGAAATTGTAACCCCACCCATAAATATTTAGACATATACCATAAACCATATCTACTGTTTATGTAAATAAATTTGGAAGATAAGGACTTGCAAGGGGAGAGATCAAAACCATAATAATTAATAGACCTCACATGATAGGTTAAATGTATGATTCAAAATGTCTCGCCCTCTTACTTATAAAGTTTTTAATGTTATTTAGACATTATAAGTAAGTTGGGTCAAACAGCTTCAACAACTTTGAATACATGCCAAATAATTGGGAGCAAAGTTTTGTACTTGTGATAATATTTCTCATTAAATTATTAACATGCACTGCTAATACTTTATTACATATACAACAGTATTTAAACCTGATCAAAGAAAAAATAAATGTAAATTGTACGATATTGTTACCAGTTCTTAGAAGGATAAGATTCAATCGAGATGTGACAAGTGTGACAAGCATGTCAAAAATATGTCACAAACATTACATTTGACATACGTATTACCATGTTTCAAATAAGTACTTTTCTTCATTATCATGAATATCAATCATTTTGAGAAAATATCTCTCGATAATACAAGACTTTGCTCCAAAATCCTAAAAAACTCACCCGCTTAACTAGCGTTCTATCAGCGTGGGGGTCATCGTCGTCGGGCGTTGGGGGCAAGGGGCGAGTGGGGGGACCGGCGCCGTCTTCCGACACCGCGGACAGTCCCGGCCTATAGCAAAATTCGGGACTAACAAGCCGAAATAAAACCAAAAAGGAAGGAAATTCGAGGTGACGTGAACCAAGCGTTGACAAAGGTATCGTGAAATGGGTTTCATTATTGAAAATAGGGTAGATGGAAATTAAATTTCCGGAACGGGTTTGGAAGATTGTATGTATGAAGCAGGGAAAAGCGTTGGAAGAAAAATAACAGAAAGGTGATAAAGGAAAAATATTGCGAAACAAAATTGATAGTATGAACAAAATAAAGTCGCAACGTAAAGAAAATGATGGTAGCATGTTAGTATCATGATAATGCTTTCAAATATACGATGAACTTGATGAACAACATGATTTAAGATAGTAAAAAACGTGTGTATACTTATGTACACGCGTTGGAAGTTATACTTCTTTGGCGTAAAAAGAAAAAAATCTTTTCAAAACATTTATTCTACATTTGTAGAAAACACTACACTAACAATAGAAAAAACGGTATTTAATACATTGAAAGTTTTATTATAACGCATTATCTAGGTAAATAAAGTTAATTCAAATATCACAAAAAAAAACTAATGTTGTCTATAGCTACAGGGTGTCGGTTTTCATAATTTTTCCCTAACGCGCCAAAAGGAGTATAACTTCAATAAAATAATGATGATTTGTTTTAAAGTTATTTCAATAATATATTAAGGCAAGTTGCCGGTACAAGAAGAATAAGTAAAGAATGTTGAAAGAATTTCAAGAGCCGTATGTTACATCATTGCGCAAGTTTTATACCAGGCGCAATTTTAATTATTATTGTAAGACGTGTGGCGTCTAATTAATTGTACATGACCAACGAAAACAATACAATTTTTACAAGAACTCCAAAGACTTTTATTTACCGTCATTCCCTATTATTTAAGTTTAGTTTATTGCTAGTTCTTCACTTCCGTTCTACGCCTTTGATTTGAAAACTGGCAGTAAATGTAAAATTAGAAGCATTTAATATATATTTATTTTTTGACGTTCATAAGTGTACATTGTGTTACCTATATGAATGAATAATTTTTCACTTTGACTTGACCCTAAACAATGAACATGTATTTATAAATATGTAGTTACTTTGATTGAAAACAAAACCAACTTGTCAACAAAAACTTGGAAAATTATTAAAAAAAAAAATATTTATTAGATGTTTACTTTAACAAACGCAATGGAAGCTGCGTTGTCTGTATGAAGAAGTTGTTGCTCTTAAAAGTTGTTACTATTAAAAAATTATGCAAATCTTTAAACTTTACTATAAACTTTTTAAACATTGTTCAAAAATTACACATTAATTAAAAAAATGGTGCGTGTACTTATGTACGCGCGTAAGAAGTTATACTTCTTTGGCATTATTAAAAATAGTTTTTGATTGCATGCAAATAATTATTTATTATTATTCTCTTACATTAAGTGTAACATAAATTCTATTATTATTCGAATGTTGTTTTTAAATTATGTCCAATGCCGTAGCATCTTCCGTGGGCAACTTCATTCTGTTAATGTTGTGTCACGGTGCGCGCGCATCGTAAAATTTCACTTTCATCAATTTTTCATAACGCGCCTAAAGAAGTATAACTTCAATAACACTAAGGTTTATTGGATTGACAAATGATTAAGAAACTGAAACAGAAATCTGAGGCCCACACCTAAAAAGGTTGTAGCGCATTTTTCTGTATGTTAAGAATATTGTAAATACTATTTATGTGTGTTGAAAGATAAATTAACATATATTTGTGTGATGAAAAAAAATAGTTTTTAAGGTAAATTTTTACGTTAGTTGGTAACATATATATATATGTATACATTGGACCAGACAGAATCGAGGGAATCAAGTTAACGGCTATTTTAAAATATAACTTACAGCGGTTTGGGTGGGTCACTGGCCAACAGCGTCCCATCATTTCTCACTCGACCCCCGCCCTCATCTGGATCCGAATCGCTGTCGGACTCTTCGAATGTCGGTTCTGGTGGGTTTCTTTCCACCGGTGGACCTGGAAGCAACACTACTAGTTTGTAGCATATTTATTGTCTAAACGGTCTTTACATTTCAAATGTAATTTTAATTGAAATCGCACGCAACCACAAATACTTGCTCGTTCAGGGCGTATGCGTACGTGCACGCAGGTAGCCTGCAAGAGTGCGCTTTGTGACTCATTGTTGGAAGCCCGTATGCTTAACTCTTTATATATATTTTGTAATCGATAAAACATTAAAATAATTATTGTCGATTAAAAAGAGTGGCAGAGAGTTTCTTGCCAGTTCTTCTCGCCCGCTCTACGCCCTTGACTTGCGAACTGGTAATAAATATTGTCTTTTTTGACGTTCATAAGGGTACTTGGTTATCTATATGAATGTTTGAGTTTGAATTGTTTTTTATAACTTGGTTCTGTCTTTTACCCCATAAGTTGTAATGTACAGATACCGTCAACATTTCCCCCTCCGATAATGTGTGAACTACTGAACCGATTTTGATAAAACTTGGGACAGTTTTCATTGACATATACCTATTTACTTAGGCACCTATACATATCCTCCATAATTGCGTGCATATTTTACTATTAATTTTGATTTATATAACCAAGGACCAGATCCCCGTTAACAAAGACGTTGCTGCTGGTGTCTCCACCATCGACATCTTTATATGTTCGCATTTGCAGTTCACAGTAGCGATATTGTGTATCTTATGTATTTAATATTATTTATGTTTCGACATTATCGCATTGGCTTGGGGTCTTTCAAGTATTACGTAAGTAGGTTAACTGCTATTTATCCCCCCCCCTCTCTTGTCAGAAAAATTAAGCAAAACTCTCAAAAATAATAGTATATAAACGTATTAATTTTTTGTAGGAATCCTCATCGTTTTCAAGTATAGACAATGTGTGGGTAATATGTGTAAAAAAGTAAATAATTGCTGTTGACGTAATCACCATAAAATAAAAGACCCCCCCTCTATACTGCTTACGTAATACTTGATCGGCCCTTTATTTTTGTGAATAAATATATAGATTTCTTCATAAACCACACCTTGTCCATTAGCTGGTGCTCGTGGAGGACGATTCGGTGGCTCGTTGCCGGAGACCACGCCCAACTCGTTCAATTGTGCGGCCAGCTTATCCAGGTCCTAAAAAAGTATTATACATTATTAGATGTACAGATTCCTCTATTTTCTGCGGCTCTAGCATGTTTGAAAAGTATTTTATATAATCTCATTCGGCAATGTTCTAATTATGAAATGAAATACAGACTTTTATTGGCATATTTTATATGCAGACTTCTTTAAAGAAATTAAAGCATTATTCTCCTAACAAAACAATGCTTTAAAATATATTTTTTTAATTATTAAAGTACAATGTGTCCCGACCAAGGAGGTTTCAATTCAATTTAAGTACACATAATCTGTGGTGAGCGCGCTGCGCGCGCAACGCGGCGGTTCCGAGCCAATAGACCAATAACAGACTCTATTATATGACAGTTGCATAAACTACTATTTTTATCGTCCTTTTAATTGACTTCTTGGAGTAAATTTGAATAGAAAATCTTAGATTCAGATTCGAGACTTAAGTTCCCCAATGTTATATACATTTTTGACATACGTAAGTCTCGAATTTAGATCTGAGGGTTAGGCGCTTTCTCCACTGCTCCGGTCCAGCAAACGTTAATTACCGATCCGATTTAGAAAATCACAACAGTACACACGTACTTCTCCACTACTCCGATAATTTGCTAGATCGGAACCGGTGTTTTATCGGTCCGAAGTGATGCCTCTTTGTCTTCGAATGTATGACAATATAGCTAAAAGTTGTTGGCGGTTAAAGGCAGGACTCATCGTGAATCATAAAGCCGAGGAATTTTAATAAAGCACTGCGTTACATCCTTTGCGACGGGGTGACTTATTTTTAACTGATCGATTATTGTCGGATAGAAGAGAAGCACAATCCGGCCTTCCGATATTTTTCTCATGACTCATTCCGGTTTATAACTTCTATTAATACGTGTCAAACATGATAAGAGCCCTGATACGAAGTTATTTTAAACCTCATACAAAGTAATTATGTATTTATGAAAAGCACAAAATTGGTGGAAACAGCCATTACCGGCCTGGTGAAGCCATAACCTCAAAACTTGTAACTCATTCAAAACTCAGCCAAATAGGCATTGTCTAATTGAACACGGAACACTTTGAAATAAAACATAACTACTATTCACATATATATATATATATATAAAAATGAAACCCGTTTTCCGTTTCCGACATAGCATGTAAACGGCTTGACCAATTTGGCCAATTTTTTTTTATAATATTCTTTGAAGTACGAGGATGGTTCTTACGGAGAGAAAAATTAAAAAAACTGACGTTAAAAGCGTTGCCTGTGCATTATTCCAATGAAAGGATTGAGTTGTGAATCTGTTTTATTACAAAGAAGATTTTAATGCAGATGCAGAGTTGCATTTTCATGCAACATCTCACGGAAAGGGGGCATGCGATGGTCTAGGGGGGAATCTGAAACGTTTAGCTGGGCGTGCGTGTTTACAATTACCTCCAAGTAAAGCAATTATAACACCAATGCGATTATATGAATGGGCAAAATCATCTTTAAAACAAACCGCCATTTATTTCTGTTCTAAAGATGATATAGAGCGTCAGAGAATTTTTTTGGAACCCTGGTTTGCGTCTACGGTCACCATTTCAGGAACCAAAAAGTTTCACAGCTTCATTCCAACAACCACAGGCCTTCTTGTAAAGAGGACCAGTTCTGCCATAGATTCCCATTGTAAAATTGTTAAAATTACAAAATAAACAGTTCTTGTGTTCTACCAATGTTGTTTTATTATGTTTGAACTATTTTATCACAGTAATTTATACAAGCCATTTTATTTGACGCACAACAACCGATATAAGCAAGTGCTACATATGACGCCCATTGCGACGCGGGTGTATATTATTCAACGTATCTCCTAAACTAATAGAGATCCCATTTTAAATTTTCTAGTGTACTTTCATTATCATTTAAGCTATATTTTGAAAAAAAAAATAAATAAAAAAATTGGTCGAAGTGACTGTAATTCTGGTTTGAAAAGTTTACTTCCGGTTTTGGCCATTAATTTTTTTTAAATTTTTAAATTTTTTTTACTGTCAAAAAGAACAGTATATTTTTAATATGTATCGCTATGTAAAATATTTTATAGTAGATTTGGTATATTCGAAAAATTACTTTCGAAAAATTGTAGTACCAATCAACGACAATTCTTTTGAAACCTATAACTTGGTAAATATACACTATACAAAAAAAATATTTTGCGTACACATTCATACCTACTAGAAGTACAAATGGGCCGAATGTGGTCAATTTTCAGAACCTCACTTTTTTTTCCCTGTCCGCTTCACGTGAAATGTCCCATATCTATCAATTTTTTGAATGGAATCTCGTCATTAGCCTTGAAAGCTCAGCTCGGACTGTTTTAGCGAGCGTATTTCGGAATGAGCTTTGCCCGCGACTAGCAGTATTTCATCTAAATAGACTTTGCCACGCGCTTTTATTTTGTCATTGTACTCTGATTTTTAATTCCGTAGAATTCTGACATTTCATAAGTGTTGCTACTAAAAAAGTTTTTCACCGAAAAGTGGCCTAATACAAAAACAACAAATATTTCAATATCACGAACACTATATCAAATTAACTTTAATTACTTTATTTTATTCTTTAGCTGGCATCACTGTCTACTAATTCCAGGTTTAGTAAACCTTTTTAAAAAAATAAAATATTATCTTTACTTGTACGTTTTTACTGTTTGTGATGAAAAGGGACGAAATTACCACTCGCCGTAAAACCACTTTAAATGTGGACCACCGCACTTAATAGAATGGATACATTCACTAACAAAAAAAAGGGTGCGTGTACTTATGTACGCGCGTAAGAAGTTATACTTCTTTGGCATTATTAAAAATAGTTTTTGATTGCATGCAAATAATTATTTACAATTAAATAATCAATTTATTAAATTTACATTTGAAAAATTAAATAAATAATTATTTATTATTATTCTCTTACATTAAGTGTAACATAAATTCTATTATTATTCGAATGTTGTTTTTAAATTATGTCCAATGCCGTAGCATCTTCCGTGGGCAACTTCATTCTGTTAATGTTGTGTCACGGTGCGCGCGCATCGTAAAATTTCACTCTCATCAATATTTCATAACGCGCCTAAAGAAGTATAACTTCAATTAAATGTATGAATAGACTCAGATGTTCAGACTGGTATTGAAATCAAAAATGTGCACGGCCAAAAAGGTTTGTAATCTCCGACATGTCAAAAAATGATAGCTGTCACAATTCAACGGAATTAAAAATCGGAGTATATAATATATGTACAGAAATTCCAACTCCAACAAAATATTTCCCTATAACCAACCTCAAATACCCTTAAATATCGATTAAAAATACCAAAATTTTGTTGAGAGGTAATATCAAATAGGAAAGAAGGGGGCCTCATAGTCTAGCGGTCTTATTAAGTGGCAGCTAGGTGAGGGTACCGGGTTCGAGGGCAAGTTTTAAATTTAATTTAAAATTTGTTCTCGGCCTTTGGAAGGGTTGTGCGGTACCGGGCGAGTGCTTAAACCGTACATTGAGGAACACGGTCGAATTTCTAGAGACAAGCAAGAATTGTAAAAAAATCCTATATACTAATGCACAAACCGTGCCAGAGCCATAAAAAAAAAAGGAAAGAAACATTTAAAAGAACACAATCTTTGAAATCGCAAATCTTTTTGCTTCACCTTCTACCTAAAATGATAATAAACTTATAAATTTACTTATCAAGGTCGTAAAACAAAAAACAGTACAGTTCACACTTTATTTGTAGAACCGGGGGCAAATGGACAGAAGGCTCAATGCGTTGCCGGCCTTTTAAAAAGTGATACGATCTTTTCTTGAGTCGATATATTATTGCATAAAAAAATATTGTTATCAAACGGGCTGTTAGTTTTATATGTTACTGGCATATAAACTAAGACTTTTAAGATATATAACTAGCTAAGCATATATAACAGCTATTTCCACTTCATATAACAAATGGTAAAAAAAACACACCTCGGGCCTTCTTGGCGGTATCTGCATGTGCAAACAAAAACAGCGTGACATGAAAATAAAAAAAGCTTTTAAAATAATATTACGACACAAAAATCTCTGCTTTAAAAAAAACACAAATTCATTACTGTTTATTAATCTGTGCGGAAACAATACAATTATTTAGTTTTCATTTATTCATTAAAAAATTTGTGTTCTAGTGTTGCCAACAACAAAAAACTTTAGCACTTCTTTCCGCACAGACTAATATAAATATATTTTAACAGACTGCAAATGGTGAAATAAATTAAGGAAATTTCCTTACAAAGATCCATTTCAGTACAAAATAAAACTATTTTTTTATATACAAACACAAATCAAAAACATAATGATTTTGACACACGAGAATTCGTGCTATGTCTGTATTGAACATTGTTGAATATTTGTTCTGAACACACTTTTCATTTTGTCTATCAATCTATTTTATGCAATAAATTTTCAATAAAAAATAAATTATATATTTAAAAAAATGCTCCAGTTTAGACTTTTTTCTTAAGGTCGATTTACATCAAACGAGCGAATGCTCATTCTATCCCCACTACATCAAATTCTTCTAGTGTAAACAGGCGTAGAGCATTCTTTCGTTGTTCTTAGTGCGTTCGCAAAGATTCTATAGAATATTCTAAGAATGCTCGTTCGCTTGATGTAAACGGCGCAAGAGCGCGCGAACAGTTGCTTAGAGCGTTCTAGCGTGTTCGGACGTGCTCGCGCCACTGAGCGGTCTTTTCAAAGCGTTCTTGTGTTCTAGCTCTAGCTCTATGTTCGTTTGATGTAAATCGACCTTTAGCTAAGTGAGAAAAAAAATATTTTTATTGATTCATTAGTGAATTCCATACCATGGGTTTGAACATGTGGTGCGAACCCCTCTGCGGGGGTTGCGGCCCACTGGCGGGCGGAGTCCCATTGTTGGATCCCGAGCTGTTGGACGAGCCCGACGACTTCGGGGTAGGCGGAAGTGGCCTGGAATTATCACATATACCAACTACAATATATTCTATAGAAAAACTAGCTGACCCGGCAAACGTTTGTTTTGCCATGTATATTATTTCTAGGAAACATTTGTTTAGTTCAATAAAAATAACTATCTACAATAATAAAAAATAAGGGTTGATTGGAGAGGATTTAGGGGTTGTATGTATTTTTTATGTTGTATACAAAAATGAAAACAAAAATGTTTGTTTAAAATATAAAAATATTTTTTTTGAGGTGAACAACCTTTATCGCTTAGGGGTTTGAAATATAGATAGAAGCCGATTCTCAGACTTACTGAATATGCATACAAAATTTAATAAGAATCGGTCGAGCCGTTTCGGACAAGAACGGATACGAACATTTTGACAGGAGAATTTTATATATATAGAGATTTAGACACAGTCAGTGCGCAGGCGCCGATCAAAGAGATTGACATATTACAACTTGTAAGATGTCTATGATACTGCGTGGTGTTGCTTCTAATAAAACAAATGACTTCGTGTTCTTTTATTACATTATCTCTGACATATAAACTTAATGTTAGGTTACATAACTCTGGTAAAACAAAGTAATAGTGTTTGTCTATGACTTACCTATATCTGTTAGGTTGTTGTGCTTGTGGGTCTGGCACTACGATCAGTCTTTGAGGAATTGTTGGCCTCGCTGGAGGACCGGGTTCTGAAAAATCATTCAACAATATTAAATATAAAAACACGTTTAAATTTTTTATTATCTACCCTCACATACAAAATTTTGTGTACCTTCAATTTTTATTTATTTTTGTACCTCAAGTTATTTTAGCTTTTATAGTCTATATAACGCATTATCTATTAAGCAAGTCATATGCTGATTGAAAAGTAAGATTTTAGAAAAAAAATACTATAACCCAAGGCAAGACATGAGAATCAAATCATTTTTGTAAAAATCAGCGAGTTTATTCGAGATTTGAACACCTTCTGATCAATACAAAAGCAAACTTTTTCATTACATTTTTTTCTTTTCGTCCAATTTTAAAATCCTATCCTTTCAAGTCAAATTTTGCGTTGTCCACCACAAATAATTATAATTAAATAATAAATTGTAGCAATGTCAAGTTTGTATGACCATAAACAGTAGAATACCTGGTATCTCTTCTCTCTCTTCCCGTTTACTGTTGCGTTTAGGCGGCGGCTGGGGTTGTTGTGCTTCCGCGGCTCTGGAAATGAAAAAAATCATTGAAAAAACTGCACAAATATAATATATAGTATTCGCGGAAGATTTACCTTCCTTCCTGAATCTGCTGGAAATTCCTTCTCAAAGTGTCTCCACCTTGATGAGGAGCATTGTGCACTATAGAAGACGGCTCCCCCGCTATGGCGTTGTCTTCCTCTTCTCCCTCTGAGCCCGAATACTTGTAGTCTTCTCGCACAGAGTTGTCCTGCTTGCGCTTCTTGCATCGATCTATGTGATCCTTCAGCTGTATCCGAACTTGGCGTTCTGTGGGTTGATCTCTGGAATATATTTTTAATTATTTTTTTTTCGATATTTTTTCACTGCTTACGTCCAAATACCCTTGTATATTAAAAATTATAAAAACGTATTATTTTATTACAGAGGTTTTTCACGGAACATGCACATAGACACCAGCCAAGAGTTTCTGCTGTGGCGAACAATAATACCACTCCTCTTTTCCACCGCGTCGGCGATTTTACCGCCATGTGTGACGTCACGGGCGCGGTGGGTGGAGCCTGGAGCCAGTAGCAACGCGACCAGCGGACGGTGCGATATGGACTATCGAACTTGGAACCTGTGCGCGCGAATACGTTTTACCCCTTGCATATTATAATTAATTTATCGTTATCTTTACGCTTTCTCTTTTCTTATTTGCTTTCATCTCATTTCGTTTATAACTTTGTTTCTTCTGTGCTAATTTCAATATAAGTATTTAAGATGTTAAGAAGTTTATTTTTCCATCCTACTGCCTAGCCAAGAATCTTTTAATATATGGTGCACGCGTCACGCGCACCTATACCGCTCTTTAAGAGCTGTTATAGCTGTATCGGAATTTAAAGTAGGGCGAACAAGAACATTACTTCATTTTGTTCTACTGTCTGTAATTATACCGTTACAGGTGCTCATCAAACGCAGAATTTCCTAAACGACTTTTCCTCTCAAATTCTTTTTGAATGATAACTAAGTTAGTGTTTGAAATGAAATGAAAGAAAATTTCATTACTTTTTCAATTTTTATTTATGTTTGAGGAGAAAATATTGTTACGTTTCTGATTTTTTATTTTGATACAATCTTTTTTACCATGTGATGTCAGAATTATTGATTACCTACTAAGTAATGAATAAATACTTGATGTCACAATTCTTGAAGTGCATTCAGTTTATTTGCCTGATACCCGTATTTAATTCCTAACTCTATGGATATAGAATGGTCTACCATAAAGCAGACCAATCAGGGACAGCCTTCGGACAGTTAACAATTTGACAATTTCAAGATTGTAATTTGACGGTTTCACTTCGATAGATTACAATCTACCGAATAATAATTCGTTAAATTGTAAGCAGTACGTTGAGTTGACAATCTTTCGACAGTTTACAATCTCGCGAGATAGATTACAATTTTACGGTGACATATATACAGTCTATATGCAGTAGTGTGTACGGTGTGTGTATTTCAAAGTCACTGATTAAACGAATTAAGTAGTCACGATTTGAAATAAATTCGTAAATTTTAGTATTTAATGAAAATAAATGTTTATTCAATAAATAGTCATCGTTATCTGGAAAAAAATCGTAATATTTTATTTTATCATTATGACATATTTAGTTCCTTTCACAATCTGTTCTTTTCTGCATATTACTCTTACAAAATAATGTCGATGTTTCACATCTGCCAGGCGTCCCGTGACGGCTCACATTTTTTTATTAAATTATCAATCACTATTTTGTTTGGATACAAAGACTCGGACGCACAGGCCAATCGAGTGGAAGAGAGATAGATGCGGCCCAAGCGTACAATGAGCGTAACGGGACAATCAGTCATGCTTTTGTCACGTCGAAATTGCCTCTTAGAAAAACACTATACATTTATCTCTAATGTATAAATCCAGATTTTTGACTCACCTGATGAATGGGTGTTTGAGCAGCTGTTCGGTGTAAGGCCTCTGATGGTAATCCTTCACGAGCACGGTCTCGATGAAGCTGTGGAACTTCTTCGCCCACTTCTTGGACTTTAAACGCGGTGGTGGATTCCTGGATAAGCAAAAATTTATTTTAATACCCACAAATAATGAAAATTATTAATTTTTTTTTTTAGAGCAGTGTTGGCCTAGTGGCTTCAGCTTGCGACTCTGAGGTCGTGGATTCGATCCCCGGCTGTGCATCAATAGACTTTCTGTGTGCGCATTTAACATTCACTTAAAGGAAAACATCGAGAGGAAACCGGCTTCCTACCCATAAAGTCGACGGCGTGTGTCAGGCACAAGAGGCTAATCAATCACCTACTTGCCTATTAGACAAATGACCAATAAACAGATACAGAAATCTGAGGCCCAGACCTAAAAAGGTGATACTGTTTTATTTTTTAATTTTAAAAACAATGTACTTTTATTGGTGCAAGCAATATTTTTATTACGTTTAAATATGTATATTAAAAAAATTATGACCAATAACATTGCCAACAGCTATAGCAATCTTTACTATTGGGTTTAATGGTGATTTATATAGATTTGTATCTGTTTCGTAATCATTTTCTTAATTCTAAAATTCTAAACTGTCTCACTTAAATCTAGTTTCTTTTCATTTAAAGTTTGACAAATTTTAATTTGACACACGACACATTTTTGAAGTGAAACTTCTTTACGCAATAATAATAATATTAGCGTCACGAAGATGTGCAGCGTTATTTTCGAAGACAAGGGAGAGAGCGATTGAGAGAGAGAGAGAGAGAGAGTGAGAAATGGCGAACGTAGCATGAAGCAAATAGCCATGGAGAGGGAGAGTAAGGGAGATCGAGAAAAAATACACGCTATTGGTTGATGTATTCGTTTAGTTACATATTAGAACTTCAGATTGCAATTCTGTCGCATAACGTCTTGTGCAGTTAACGCAGATTTTTTTAAAATTTATATTATCATTGGCACGTATACAGTGTGTAAACAAGTGTGAATATAGATATACAAAAACATCGAGTGATCATATACTGGTACATGATCATCTATTGGGGCTTTTACCTTAGTAATAATTAATTAATTAATACAAGTTTCACTTCTGACATGTGTACTTTACACACTTTTTTTATAGAACAGGGGGCAAACGGGCAGGAGGCTCATCTGATGATAGGTGATACCGCCGCCGCCAGAAGGCTCTCGAATTGGTACGCTTTTGAAGGACTCTAAGTCGAATTGGTTCGGAAATACTTTAGTGGGCAGCTGGTTCTACATAGTGTACGGCAAAAACTGTCTTAAAAAACGCTCAGTTGTCGGAAGGACGTTGAGGTGATACGGATGGTATTTTGTATTCTGCCTTGACGTGAGATGAAACTAAATTCAAAATCATTCATTCATGTACACTTATGAACGTCAAAAAAGAAATATACATTAATTGCTTCTAATTTTACTTTTACTGCCGGTTCTCAAATCAAGGGCGTAGAACGGAAGAGAAGAACTGGCTGAACTCTACGCTACTCTTTTTAATCGCCAAGTTTTTTGTTTTACACAACGTTTGTAAGGAGCTGCAACCATTACACCATGTTCCACATGACATCTTAAGTAATAAATAATAATAATAGCTGCAGGTATTAGTCTGAACATCATACACATTTGAACACAAACCTCGGAATGAGGAACAGAGCTCTCATGGGATGCAAGTCACACAACGGGGGCTGGCTCTCCGCCATCTCCAACGCCGTGATGCCCAAAGACCAGAGATCAGACCGATTGTCGTACGTGGCTTCAGGGTTCTCATCACAGGCGATAACCTCCGGAGCCATCCAATACGGCGTACCGATGAACGTGTTCCGCCTCCCGATGGTTCTGTCCAATTGGGCTGATACTCCAAAGTCCACTGAAATTTTTCAATTTTGATTAAAGAGACTGGCTGATAGACACCCATTTTAGTTCTTGCCGGCCTTTGAACGAGGAGTATCACGACCACCCATGGCGGTATCACAACACGACACTAACATTGCCATAAGTCTCGCACTTGCGTTGCCGACATTTTACTGCCATAAGTCTCGCACTTGCGTTGCCGACATTTTACTGCCTAAAGGCTCGCAAGTGCGTTGACGGCTTTTTACTGCCAGAAGGTTCGCAAATGCGTCGCCGGCCTTTACTGCCAGTTTTCAAACCTACGACAGACGAGAAGATAATGAACTCTCTGGAAACTCACCTAACTTAACTTCAGCGTTGTCAGTCAATAAAACATTTTGTCCCTTAATATCACGATGTATGACTTTGTTTGAATGCAGATAGCTCAGCCCTCGGAGGATTTCTCTACATATATATGATATCCATTCTTCCTTTAGTGACTGCCCCTTTGTAGACTTCACCAAGTCAGTCACGGATCCTGAAAAATTAAATAAGAATATGAGTGTCCATTTGTAATCAATACTTTCAGCACACACCACATACACACCCTCGCTTTTACACCATCACACAACACAGCCAAATTAGGTATAACATAGTTAATTGAAATATGGGGTACAGCATGCAAAAACAAAATTTCTAAGATACAAACACTACAAAATAAAGTAATAAAAGCACTATTTAGATACAATTTTTTAACACCAACTAATAAAATCTACCAAGGAACCAAAATTATGACGATTAAACAACTATATGTTTATAGCACCTGTATCCTTATTAAAAAAAAATAACTCTCTACATAGTAACTTATCATTTAATAAAAATACACCACTACACGCAATACTCGTCGAGCGAGTTTGCTTATCTTGCCAAAGCCGCGCACAAAATATTTTTTTTTATGGCTCTGGCACGATTTGTGCATTAGCCAGCGTCAAGTATATAGGATTTTTTTACAATTCGTGCTTGTCTTTAGAAATTCGACCGTGTTCCTCAATATACCAATGTACCGCCCGGTACCGCACAACCCTCCCAAAGGCCGAGAATAAATTTAAAACTTGCCCTCGAACCGGGAATCGAACCCGGTACCCCTCACCTAGCTGCCACTTAATAAGACCGCTAGGCTATGAGGCCCCTAAACACAAAATATTTAAAGAGGTCTATTAGGTATGAGGGTGTGCAATTGTTTAATCAGTTGCCGTCTAAGGTTCGTAACATTGGCGTGATTAATCAGTTCAAAAGGGCATTAAAGATACACATCAGAATGAGCCCATTAGACTAAAATTGGGCTAGCTGATGGCGACGTGTATCTCGTTCGTATATAATACTAGCCGTTTCCCGCCCGCTTCGCTGGGCGAATTAAAATAGGAAATAAATAAAATTTTATGTTTAATTATTATTATTTTTTCATATTTTTATTATTCTTCTTTTTAACTTCCCGCTAAGAAAATTGAAAATTTTCAAAAATCGAGTTTTTAACAGATGTTGACGTTTTGAGGTTCTAGGAAGCCTCCCCGAATGTTTCCGCGGTAAAGTCCGTATGTATAAATTTTCATAAAAGTAAAACATCAATAAAAAAATGAAGGAACGTTGGAATTTTAAATAGCCATACACCATCTAGGAAAAATTTCGCATCGAATGGCAGTGGTTTAGGCGTGAAGGAGCCTCAAACGAAGACCATTTTTCTTAAATATATATAGATTAAATTTCTCATGTAAATAAAAAATATTTTTTGTAATAAGAAATAAAGTTCTTTAAACATTAAATGTATTTAATAATAATTTCTATACATTTCTCCTTTCGTAAATGTATGTATTCCATATCTTTAGCATAACTGTTTTTTGTTAATTTGTTAGGTGTATGATTATGAATAAATGAATATCCACACTCCTTGCAGAAATCTTCGGCGCCGTGAGGTCCGTGAAACCTGCGAAGTGCCAAAGAGATTTCTGTGCTTCTGGAAGGAGCTAGGCTTGCTTAGTTACCCAGGACTTTACGCACAACGGACCTAGTGAGAGTCTAAAGGTCAGTACTCACATACGGTATTACTCGATCGAGCTATACTGTCGAGTAAAACCCATGGCATGGGCTTTCGTCCACACATTGAGCATTGATCTATCGAGTGAGGCGCGCCGTTCAGTATTCACCGAACCGTTCGAGCCAAAAGATGTCTGTGCAACAAAGGAGACGGTGGCTGTATTTAGCAAGTCTCACAGTGCTTTATAAGAAAATCAAAGAAAATGAAAAGAAAAAACGTTAAGCACAGCTACTAATTTATCATAACATTCATTTCTCATATTTTTGTGGGAGTAATCTTTGGACTTGACATTCCATAAACACTCACACAGTCTATATGTGTTAATAAAGTCTTCTATAGCGCTTTTGGAATTTACTCGCAAATCCATTTCTCTTAAAAACACGTGTTTCAATCACGATAAACAATACCAGACTGACGCTCGCCTCGTGCCACTCGCAGTCACGTACACACGTTCGAGTCAAGATTGACGGCTCGCTTCGAGTAGGTTCGAAGGAAATTACTTTCATTTAATTCCATCGAGCCGGCTCAGTGCGAGCCTTCGAGCTGTGAGTTTTGCGGTCCACACGTTGATTTTTACTCGACTTCGAGTAAAACTATCGAGTAATACCGTATGTGAGTACTGACCTTAAGTGCGGAAACTGAGTCCAACATACCATACCATCCATTCCATACTATAAATCCAAAAATCGTTGTATGTTCTAAGAAACGATTATCAATTTAGATTATTTTAGTTACTTTTTTTGCCTCCTATTACATAAAAACAAAAAAATTATGTAGATTGATTATGTTTGGTTAATACAATACTTTTTTAATGTAATTAAAGAATTTACTGCATAATTTATTCACTCTTAACTAGATATTTTAAATAATCATCGGACAGTTTAATGTAAACTTTTTTAGTATTACGCATACATTTTAAATGTTATTATTAAATTTTGAAAAAAATTTAATCTGTGGTAACTAAATGTTTCATCCACCAATTATCGATGTACCAATTATATAAAAAAGTATACTTTAATTATTATTATGCCCACAATACAATTATAGCAAAGGCAACCCAAAAAAAAAGAACTGCCAAAATTAAAGGATTCCTAATTTCCTATACTTTGATAGCTCAGCAACGAGAGGGATATTTATTAATTAGGGGGGGAGGTCGGTGTTGGTCATAGTGGGGCATAATCTATGTCAGGGAATATGCTCCTATAAAAAGCTAAGCATACCGAAGCGCACGCCTAGGCAATGGAGCTAGGCTATCAGGCGCGCATCGAGTTCTTCATACACGTCCACGCCATCTTTATCATCTTGACGACTCATTGGTCTAGTGGTTACTACCTCTGACTGCGAATCCATGGGTCCCGGGTTCGATCTCCGGCTGAGACGAACATCTAGACTCTATTGAATGAGATAGAGTGCAGACAAATTCTAAAGACATTTACATAGACAAACAGAATCCTCCTAACTGGCAGAGAGCACCGACACTAAGGAACGCCAAAAGGAAAAAAGTTTCCTCACCATCTCCAGACAGGATACCAGTTTCCAATCAATTCAGCGCCCTTCCAGTAGATCAGGAACTCAAACTCAAAATATCTTTATTCAAGTGGGTAACCAAGTACACTTTTGAATTGTCAAGTTAAATTAATTGTAAATTTACATTTACTACCAGTTCGCAAGTCAAGATGTAGAACAAACTAAAAAGATATCTAAACCTCCACCTATAATCCTATATGGTATTGAAGACCTAGCCAAACTTACCGCACTCCTGGAATGTGCCGTAAACAAAACCGACTTCATCTACGAAATAATCAACCAAAACCAGCTGCGCATAAATTGCGCCAACGTGGAGGTTTACAAAAATATAATAGACCTTATCCGAGAAAAACTACTGATCGGACATACATTTAACAGAAAAGACAAAAAACCGTATAGAGTGGTTATCAAAAACCTACATTATTCAACTCCTATCCTTAAAATAAAAGAAGCACTGGAAGACACGGGAAACAGTGATAGGAGAAATAATAAATGCAAAGTATGGACCTGAAAAGAAACCTACATCTACATTTTTTGCAACCCTAGAACAAAGTCCGAGCAACAAAGAGATAAAAGGTATAAAGTACATAAACCACCAATCGGTCGTTATAGAGGAACCACGGAAAAGGAACTCCATAGTTCAATGCCAAAGATGTCAGCAATATGGTCACTCTAAAAATTACTGTATGAGGCCCTATCGCTGCGTGAAATGCGCGCAAGCACATAGAACAGCAGACTGTCCAAAGCCTGATCGAAGTACTCCAGCAAAATGCGCCTTGTGCCTCGGTGCCCATCCAGCCAACTTTAAAGGCTGTGAAGTATATGTAGAAATCCTATCGAGAAAATCTAAAAGGCAGTATACCCGCGCGTCTAGGATAAATCCACTATTATCCAATACAAATAATAACAATAATCAGGAAAGACAACGAAGCTCTAAACAGATGGCACCTGAGATGAATACACTACCACGGTTAGAAAATAATAAACCTATTGGTGACAAAAACTCCCAGTCACTATCACAACCACAACACTTATCTAGGAACAAAGAAAGACCTAACCATGGAAATTATCGATCAAGCTACGCCGATGTGATAAGATCTAACCAGAATGCTAATAATACACCAAAACCTGCAATTGAAGAAATGTTAGTCAAACAAGCTGAAAAGTTTGATCTTATCCTACAACAAAAGAGCACTTTAATCAATTTTATTACAACATTAGTAACGAAAATGTCCAAATGACTTCCCTAAAGATGGAACCCAGATGGGCTACCGCCTAATCTAGAAGAAGTAGAAGTACTACTACACACACACAACATAGACATATGATTAGTGTCTGAATCTAACCTTACAGAAAATAACAGAACTGCACATGCGGGAACAGCTATAGTTTCAGAAACCCTACATACAAGCTACAACAATTGCAGTTATAGATAGAAACGGTACGTTTAATGTATCCGCCATCTATAAAAGAAGAACATTTTGAAGAGCTTTTTATATCACTGGGGCAGCGATTCATAGCAGGAGGTGATTGGAATGCCAAGCACGTTCATTGGGCCTCTAGGCTAACGACAACAAGAGGCAGAGAGCTTAAGAAAAGTATAGATAACCATAATCTCACAGTGATCTCAAAGACGGACAGGACCAACTGGCCAACTGACTCAAACAGGCTTCCGGACGTCAGACTTTTTCGTCATGAAAGGCCTATCTAGACTTTCTTACCAAATACAAACTTGTTTAGACTCGAGTACAAACCATGTTCCAGTTATATTGACAATTGGAATTACTGCCTTGAGCAAAGAACACAGCCTTAAATTGTACAATAAACGAACTGATTGGAACTCATATCGAGAACTGGTCCATGACAGACTAGACCTAAAAATTGCCTTAAAAAGTGAAGCAGACATTGATCACGTAACTCGCTTACTAACCGAAGTGATCCAAGAAAGCTGCTGGATGTCCACGCCCGAACTCACTGCTCGTCTGCCACAGAGTAAGACCTACTCGGACACCATACGACAAAAAATATTAGAATAACGAAGGCTACGTCGAATATGGCACACTAGTAGACTGACATATGACAAAACGGTGCTTAATAAAGCGATACGTGATTTAAAATCCCTAATATCCGAAGCTAACGAAGCAGCCTTGAGTAAATACCTGGAAGGATTGACAGCAACAAAAGCAACCGATTACTCGCTCTGAAGAGCCTGCAAAAACCTAGCTCGACCACTACACCAAAAGCCACCACTACAAACGTAGAACGGGCAGTGGATTAGAACGGAACGAGAAAAAACTGAAGTTTTTGCTAATCATCTCAGTCAAGTATTCAAACCGACTGACCCCAGTCCTAATGTAGATGAATCGGATATCGAACTAATCATTGACCAAGACCTGCAACTTGATCTACTATTAAAACTAGTGACACCACGGGAAATTAATCGCAACATCAAATCTATGGACAATAATAAGGCACCAGGCAAAGTGATAGTGTACCTTAGAATGCTATTTAATGCAATCCTAAGAGCTGGATACTACCCAGACTTATGGAAGGTATCACAAGTGACTATGATCCACAAACCTGGAAAACCGATTCACGAAATCACATCATATAGACCCATTAGTCTGCTGCCTATTATGTCCATATCACTTGAGAAACCTCTACTACACAGAATGCTGAACATAATAAAAGAAAAGCATATCATACCAGATCATCAGTTTGGCTTTAGGCAAGAACATGCTACAATAGAACAAGTCCACAGAGTATGTAGAAAAATAAGAAACTCCCTCGAGAGGAGAGAATACTGCTCATCTGTATTTCTTGACGTACAACAAGCCTTTGACAGAGTGTGGCATAAGGGTCTCTTGTTTAAAATAAAATCCTTATTGCCACACACATTCTATAGGATCCTACAATCATACTTGTCTAACAGAATATTTCAAGTTAAAGAAGGTGCCAGCACATCCGAGTTTTTACGAAATTCGCGCAGGTGTGCCACAGGGCTCAGTCCTCGGACCCGTCCTGTACACACTGTATACACACGACCTACCAGAGCCCAGAGATTACTATCGCCACCTTCGCTGATGACACGGCTCTACTTACCTCCAACAGAAGTCCCATTATGGCCTCTAAAATCCTAAAAATGGCTTAAATAATGTAGAAGACTGGTTGGCAAAAACGAGAATTGCAGTTAGTGTGTCCAAATCGGTGCACGTCACTTTCACGCTCCGAAAGGAAGACTACCCCCGGTCACTCTAAATGGCACCCAATTACCACATCAAAATACAGTCAAATATTTAGGAATGCATTTAGACCGCAGACTCACCTGGAAAAAACATATTCAAACAAAGCAAGACGAAATTAACCACAAATACAAGGGTCTCTACTGGCTAATGGGGCGAAATTCAAAACTATCCATTGACAATAAGTTGCTTTTATACAAAACCATTCTCAAAACCATATGGACATATGGAATACAGCTTTAGGGATCTGTTAGTGCCTCAAATATAATAATAATACAAAGAGCTCAAAATTACATACTCAAGCAAATATCAAACACCCCATGGTTTCTCAAAACAACAGAAGTCCATGAGTTTCTTAATATGCCCATGGTAAAAGAAGAAATAATCAAACATGGGTATTACTACAAACTAAGACTTCAAAAGCACCCCAATCAGCTAGCAGGACAGGTCATTGAACTTTTCTCAACTATAATTAACATTAATTAACTTATATGAGATATGTATCATTGTAACCTCTTTAAGTGTTCAGGTATTAATATTATAGACAATGGGACAGCCACTGATAAATGTCTGCCATTCTTTTGACTATGTAAACATTATCAATTCATTGGTGCTACTATCTTATATGATTCTAATATCATAAAATAAAAATCTCTTGAAAAGTCTAATATTATTTTCTATTTCAATTACCACATATTCAAGTTTTTTTTATATAGAGCCAACTGGCAGGAGACTGATGTTAACTGATACAGCCCACAGACACTCTCAATATGAGGTTTCAAGTTGAGTGTGTTGGCGGCCTTGTAAGAAATGGTACACTGTTTTCTTAAAGGCCCTTAAGTTGTACCACTGTAGAAATACCTCAATGTACAGCCGACAAAAAATACAAAGGATGTTGAGTTGTTATGGGTGGAATTTCATATTCTGCCTCAACATCCAATGATGAAACAATTCCTATGACCAATCTAATAACTAATCCTACCACTACTAGAAGAATGTCCAGTCTTCTAGTAGTAATAGGATTACTTATTTTGGAAATAGGTGCATGTTTGTTACTGGGATAATATAGCATTTGACTGGAGAAAGATTTTTAAATCAGTCCAGTAGTTTTTAGGTTTATTCAAAGTATCTTTCTCTTTTTATAATTGTTATATAGTAATTGTTAAGATTAATAATACAATATCAGCCATATGTACTGTCTTCAGATAAAATATATTCATAGATATAGCCCAATCACTCTCAAAACAAGTATGAAACTATAGTTTGTGTTTATTGTCACAGATGTAGTCTATCCCAAATTAATAGTTACATGTTCTCACATCCACTTTCCTTTATATTTAGTCCTCCTATATATATATTTGTTGGACAACTGAATACCACTCTCTTAATAGAAAATTTAAACTTACCAGCACCACAATACTCCATAACCAACCAGAGCTGGTCATCTTTCCCTGGAGGACTTTTCTTTATAAAAGCACCATAGTAAGTGGCAATGTTGCGATGGGTTGAATATTTCTTTAACACATTGATCTCAAGTTTTATTTCCTCTTCTTCATCTTGTGTCACATCCATCACCTTGATGGCAGCAAGCTGGCCGGTCTTTGTGTGCCGTCCCTAGAAATTTCATTTTAAAGTTATAATATCTGCAAGTCTTACTATATGTAAGCTAGCTATTATAAATATAGCTTATATAATCACTATTGTGGTATTGTTCCTAGTCAATTTTCACTATGTAAAAAAGAGTATCTTTTTAGATATGTATATTTTTTTGCTTTTAAAACCAATACATTGGATACAAAACAAATTTAATGGATTTGTATTAGAGACTAACAATAGTGTTGGTAGAATTAAAAAATAAGTAAACAGTATTAAATTAATAAGAAAAGATAATATTAATGAGAAAAAAATTTTTTATATATTTCTTATAGCAATAAAAATTTGAAATATATATTCTAACTTTATTTTGTTTATTACTAAATTTATTAATATTTCATATGTAGGCTTGCTATATTGATAACATATTTAAAAAATTGAATGCATTATCAAATATAAATATTGTTGAGATAACATTACTTACAACTAGAATTAATCTGGTAGGCAAAGTACATACTCTAAGATAATTTTAACAATAGTAGGCCAAAGCTTCCTTAGTGTATGAAATTTAAATTATGTTCATTGAGATAAATAAAATATAGTCTTGTAGTTAAATGAATACTATGAATACATTACTTAGTAAAAGTCAACTATGTCAGGGTAAATATTAGTCAAATTGGAATACATAAGATATATAATAGCATAGCAAGTATAATTTTTAAGCACATACCTTGTATACTTGGCCATAAGTGCCATTTCCTACAACTTCAATAAGCTCAAATATTCCAGCAGGATCCTGTAAACAAGTATACACGAGAAATGTATAGATAAAAGCTAATTATATTCCCTAACACCTTCCCAATGATTCACACCCTGTGAGATCATTGCACTCTAGACAGGTTTTCACAAAGGGGCGTAAAACAAAGTAATACATATGACAATGTTTTTAGGATAAATCAAATATTTACCTTTAATGCACTGAGGTCAATGTCGTCTAATGAACAATTTACAGACGGTGCTAGTTGATGCGCCATTTTGAGTATATTGTCACACACGGAGACAAAGCACGAGATCTTCACATCAATATAAAAACCTTACAAAAGATCTTATATCACAACATTTGTATAGATATGGATAAGAATTTATTCTTGTACATCTGAATAATTTATAAAACACATTGTTTACAATTAAATTTAAAGAGAATTACAGATACACAATTTATATGCCGCACACACACACCCGGCGGTGATGCCAGATGAAATCTTGGGACAACTGACAATTTTCTCAAATCTACCATTATGTTTTCAGATCTACTATATAGGTTAAAAATATAAGCAGATTTTTACTAAACGCAGTGACATATTCATACGGATATAAATATAATATAGTTTATTATGGGTGTTCTATGTTGTTATAAATCACAACCCATTTTTATCTTTGTTAATTGATTTATTCTTCAAAAACAACAGTAATTAATTTATATTCACATAGAAACGCTCAAGGAAAAAAACATATATATCACTCGTCTTAAAGTGCGTTCCACTAAGCGCTCACGACGATCAAAATGCTCCTTTAGCCATTCCACATACCGACCGCGGTCGTTGTGGTCACGGCGAAAACGTCACTCATGACGTCATGACAAATGCTCACGCAACGCTCACAACGACCCATCTAAAGAGGTGGGTCGTTGTGAACGTTGAGAATAATTTGGCGCAATTTTTGAAATATGACAAATAATAATATTATTATATTCAAAGTTTAAAGATGGCGACAAGAAAAATCACATTATTTGATTCAGAAAGAGAAATTGTAAAGCCATTTCGATTATATTTAAACTTAAGTTGTTTGATGTTTGATGATATTCTTCACTTTTAACATAAATAAATTTAAGTCACAAATATCAAAACTTATTGTTTATGATTACCTAACCTCCTTAAAATTCTACTATTTTCAAACTTGACATTTGTAATATTTACATGAACGCCTGAAACGCTCCATAATCCATTCCACTTGAGTTAACGACAGTAACATTCACAATCAAGTGGAATGGGGAAATCAGCGGTCGTGAGCGTGATCGTCGTGAGCGCTTAGTGGAACGCACCATTAAAGTGCCCTGTAAAAGTCTGTTCTGAGTGACGTCTGTTTTCTTCTTTTCTTATGGTGCGTTCCACTAAGCGCTCACGACGATCAAAATGCTCCTTTAGCCATTCCACATACCGACTGCGGTCGTTGTGGTTACGGCGAAAACGTCACTCATGACGTCATGACTAATGCTCACGCAACGCTCACAACGACCCATCTAAAGAGGTGGGTCGTTGTGAACGTTGAGAATAATTTGGCGCAATTTTTGACATTGTTTTTGAAATATGATATTCAAAGCTTAAAGATGGCGACAAGAAAAATAACATTATATGATTCTGAAAGAGAAATTGTAGTAGAAGCTATCGTTTATGATTTTAGTTTATATTCAACAAATATTTATACATTTTTCCTGAATAATGGATAGCATAACCTAACTCAATAAGTAAACGATATTTATTATCATTAATAATATATATATTTGGTAAATTTATTTTATTTGTAGATGTATTTTTTGCAACTGAGCTGTTAAGAAAAATTATTAATCAAAATTCTGAAGCTTCCGCATCTGTTGAAGTTGATCAAGAATCTAGTGAATTATACGATGAAGAGACTTCAGAGAGTTTATTGGAGAAGAACGACTTGATAGTGATAATCCAACCGATCTCAACTCTGAAACTCCAGAATTTGAAGGTTTAATGAACATCTGAAATTCTATTATCATTTTATTTCATATATATTATGCGAGAATTTTAATTATATTTATTTTTTTTGCACAGGAGAAACTTCAGTATACAGGTGGAACTCACCCTGCGTATTATTATTATTGGAATTATATAGGTCTATGGAAGGAACTCTGAACAGTGGAAAAATTTCTCAAAAACAAGTATGGAATAAAATATCCCAAGATATGAAGAAAAAAGGATACGATGTGACGGGACCGCAGTGTCATTCTAAAATACGAAGCCTAAAAAAACATATAAATCTACTAAGGATCATAACAATAAGTCAGGAAATAATAGAAAGACATGGCAGTTTTACGATGTTAGTACAAATTACTCAATATTTTCATAAATCTTACATTTACTTGAATATTTTATAAAACCAATAAACAATTTTCTTATTCATGAAATATATTTTTTATAATTATTAATTTTTATAATATACTTTTGGTAGATTATGGATGAAATTTTGGCAAAAAAGCATGGTGCAATCCAGTTGCAGTTGCATCTTCTACTGGTCTGTCGTTGAAAGAAGCAGAAAATAATGATAGTACAGCGGGATCTGATAGCGGATGTTCACTAAGTAGGTTGATTATGTGAGATAATTTTAATTGTAACTAATTTACAAATTCAATTTCATTCTAGAAACAAGTAAGGCGTCGATAGCATCTTTACTGGGAAAAAGATTGCATCAAAAAGAGGAACATGAAGAAAATAAAAAAAGACACTTAGAGCGAATGAAAATGGATGAGAAATTTCTTCAAGTTTTAGAAAAATTAGCCAACAAATAAGCATTTAAATGTTAAATTAAAAAAAAAATTGTTTGTAAGCATGAAAATTACTTTTATTATAATTCCTTTTATATTATTAAAGTAACAGAAACAAATTTTATTAAAAAGACAAGACTTTGTAGTCCAAATATTTTAAAATACATTTTATAATATCCAACTGCCGCCAAAGCCATTCGATTATAAGTTGTTTGATAACTTCACCAAAATTATTTATAAAATATTCAATTATTCTTCACTTTTAACATAAATAAATTTAAGTCACAAATATTAAAACTTATTGTTTAGGATTACCTAACCTCCTTAAAATTCTACTATTTTCAAACTTGACATTTGTAATATTTACATGAACGCCCGAAACGCTCCATAATCCATTCCACTTGAGTTAACGACAGTAACATTCACAATCAAGTGGAATGGGGAAATCGCGGTCGTGAGCGTGAGCGTTGTGAACGCTTAGTGGAACGCACCATTAGTGTCCTATCTTTATGTTAACACATACATCGAAATCTTATAGAAAATACTACACAAAATAGTATGTACATTTTTAGTGCGTATCTACGATTCGCTTTATTATTTTGGTAAAATATAGATTTTATTATTTTCTTTTTTTTATTAGAAATGGAGAGAAGAAGAGTCTTAAAATACTTTCTAAAAATGATGTCTCAATAGTAGCAACAAAAACTTATAATCTAGTATCCCTAATCAGTGTTAGAATTTGACTTTTATTAAATATTTCATGTTACTTTTGACTCTCTTAGGTTATGACGTCATGTGCACAACTTAAAATGTTACTTTTAGGACTAATATTATTCTATTATTTTCAGCAAAAAAAAAATCGTGAAGCTGTATGAAAATAAGAAATATTTAATTAATAATTGTAAATGTTTAGTAAACCGGCGCGAGATATCGCTTTAAAAATCTTTCCTACGCCCTGATGCCTAGGCGAGGTTGCCAATCTTTGAATAGCGACTATAACATGCAAGTGCGGCAACGCCGCAATATGTAATATGAATAAGATGCGACAGAGACCCAAACAATGACGTAGAATATTGCAATTGATATTTGGTACTTACGTACAGTCATACATACACTTGTCAATATTAACGTTATCAAATCATGGAAAGCACTAAATTTCAAATACTAGATTAATCTAATGTGCTGTCCAGATTTCCTAACCTAAAAAAATATGTTGAGTGTTGACATTGTGCAGCAGAAAACGCATTCATATGTTCACTATTTCTAAAAAAAATATATACCTACCTAATACTGACACCATTTTCGCTTTGATGGCTATTAAAGCAAATGTAAAAGAGACCATAAATTTTGAGCCATTAAAAACCATGATACGTCATGTTAAAATAAAATAAAAAAGGAGTGGCAAAGGTCTGCTCTGGCAACACTGTACTTAGTAGCGATATTTGCTTCGAAGTTCGAAGTTCCAAGTTGTTGGCCGCACTGGCAGGCCGATGACCGGCTTTAACACAGAACACAATTACCTAAAGGAAGAACGACGTCTAGGAACATAGATTCTAAGATACGCGAATGTATCGCCACCTATTATCAACCAAAACTACATGTGGCGGCAAAAATTTGAATTGCCGGCTGGTCCAGGTTCCCCAGAAAATTATTAATTTCGGATGCATAGGCCATTTCATTTGTATATAAGACTCAATTCTAAAATGAATGAGTTTTCTCAACACTAGATATTTAACAAATGATCTTGAAATAAAACAAAAACGTTTTCTCATTGAATTATTATTTATTTCACTTTTATGGATCCTTAGACAAGAAATCAACATAATTTTGTGATGTTCGTACCTAGGTAATTCAAATGAAAAGTTTCTTCGCTACTTCTTCTCTACTTGTTCATGAGTCTCACAAGAGGAAGCAAACACCAACCATATTATAAGATGAAAATTATATGAATACATTCCTCTGGTAGTAATATTCTCTTATTCTTATAGGCAAGACTGACAAGACTGTGTCAGACTTATAAAAAAAACGGTACCACGAAAACATTTAAGAAACGGTATTTACAATGAGAAGCATCAGGATATACACTAAAACTTGGAATAAGATGCATAATTATCTTCATCTTGCGTTTGAGCGCAGATGCTAATGCTTCTGCTTCTGACAAAATCTTTTCACACATATAGAGATAACACTTTCTATGATGTGGTGAATATTTTGTGTGCCATGTTGTGCGCATTTTTTTATGCAATCAAAATTTACATTTTGGAACACCATTTCCTTTGCATTTGTTTTTAAACCACGTTTGTGACTATTTTCTTTAAGAAATGAATTTATTAATGTCACACACTTTTCAACACATTATATAATAGATTTACTTGCATAGTGCAAACTTTTTTTAACTCATTGTATTCTTTATATTCTAGTTAGTTAGATTTGCAGACGATATTGCTCTTTTTGCCAACTCGGCTT